GATATTCTTTTTTTTTAATACATATTTATGGGGTTCAATGTGATATTTCAATACATAAATATAATATGTAATGATTCAATAGAAATAATAGGCATATATACCTCCTCAACTATTTATAATCTGTGTTGGAAACATTAAAATTATTTTTTTACTTTTTTGAGATATACTATAAATTATTGTTGACTACATTCACTCTAGCATGCTATGGAACAGTAGAATACATTCCTCTTATTTAACTATAGTTTTGTATCTTTAACCAACCTTGTCTTAGGTTCCTCTTCCCCTATTATTCCCATCCCCTCCTAACTACTAGCCAACCTATCGTACTAAAAACATGAGCCAAGATGAGGAGGAGCCCTAGGTTGCAGGGGGATCCTGACCATGATGGGCTGCTTAATCAGTGCCAGGGCAGAGGGTGGCTAGACACTGCAGAGGTCCTGGCAGCCCGGCCAAGTTCCCTGACATCTTATCCCACAGGTCGGACTTCCTTATTAAGGGAGAGCTACTGCATTCATTTTCCTAACAAGGTCATCATCTTTTGCTTTCCTCTCCTCTCCTTTTCTTCTTCATTGCTGCCTCCAGCTATTTCTAGAAGCTCATCAGCCAGGCCAGGTCAGCCTCGCTTGGTCTTCCCAGCTAAAGTATCTTCATGTAATGTTCTTTTGCTGTCTGCTGCTGCTTCTGCTCTCTCCTCGAAAGCTCCTTTGGCCCATCCAAATCTAGTTGTGTAACCTTTGGTTATCTGTGCCTCCTGGCTGTGGTCCTCCATGTCCATGATCTCTTCCAGGCCATTGCATTTTTGCTTACAGTCATCTCACTCTCATCTAAGTCTAGATATTTCTTCTCCTTTTTGGGGTCACTTGCAGACCCATCTCCACCTTCTTGTTCCTCTTCTTCCTCCTTTAGGCATCATTGCTCTGGCAGCTGTGGCAACAGTTCCTGGAACTGAGAATGGCCATTTCATTTCCTGGCTTCCGTGGTGTCCTTGAGCCCTCCTTGTGCTCCCTCAACCAGCAGAGGTTACACTGCAACTGAGGCCTGAGACAGGAGATCAGAGGTTTCTCCACAAGAGAGTGATCAGCAGCAAGGCTGCTGTTCTTTTTGGGGGAGGAGAGAGGTTTTTGCTATAGGGCATGTGCGCTCGTCAGAAAGACAGAGAGAGACAGAAAGTAAGAAATCACCCCCCGGGGGGATGGCCATGCCGCAGTCCCTTCTCCTCCATTCTACTCTCAGGATCTTAGGCACACACGCACACGTGCCTGGGCGTGAGTTTAAGCCGCCGGGTCCGGGAGTCGAACTGTGGTCGACTACATGGGAGTTCAGCAACATAGCCATTACACCAACTGCTGGTCCCTAAGGTTGCTGTTCTTTTATTGTTTTATGTTAATCACAGTGCATTTAATTATTTTCATGGCCCATATGTGAGTTAGGACTTCAGTTTCAGAAATATTGCTTGAGAGTCCAACACTACCAGAAATGTGTTTCATTGACCAGACTAGTAAATCAGCAGTTGGTCAGAATGCAAATGCTTGGGACCCAAACCCCAAATGAATTAGAATTTCTGGGACAGGGATACAGGATATGTTTTATCATACTCTTCAGGTGCTACTTTTGCTTCCTAAAGTTTGAGAAACAACATTCTAGAGCAATGCTCTGAAGTGCGATCTGTTGGCCAGCTCCCAGCCCACAAGCTGTTAAAAATCTTTACATTTCTGGGGCAGCTGGAATATGGTGATCGAGGTAGCTGGATCCCACATAGCTGACTATGTGGTTAGAGGCCCTGGCCAAGCAGCTTAAATATGTCAGACACATGAACATGGGTGCCCCAAATCCCAACAGGTGGGAGAAGCAGAGGAGAGGGGATTGCTCTATGGTCATTCCCCATAGAGGGTGCTTTCTTACTTTCCCTTTCTGTCTCTGGTAAACACATACTCTCTCTGGCAAATTAAAATAAATAAATAAATAAATAAATAAATGTATTATATATATGTTATATATATAATATATATTGTTTCTGATTGGCAGAGATCACGGAGAGCAGAGAATAAGGGTTTAGGGATGTGATGATCTATTCTTCTTTTTTAATAATTATTTATTTTATTTATTCATTCATTTTATTTTAATTTGACCAGAGAGACA